ATGTATTTCTGTGTGTGTTGTATGTATGTATCTGCATGTGTTATTTTTTATGCTTATGTACACAATATCTATTCTTTTCGAACCGGCCCATGATAAATGCATTTCACTTACTGCTGCTCTCAGTAACAGCTGCGGTACTGCCAGCTGACCACAATTTGGCGAAGCGTAATGATCATATGCAACATCGAGGGCAGGTGCAGTTGACAAGGAAACGGCCGCGGTTGCAATCTAGCTAATTATTGTCTTCGTGTTATGGTTCGTTGCAACACGTTCGGGCATAGAACTTTTTTTTTTTCGGGCATAGAACTTTTTTGAAAATTATTTTGGTGTGTTATATGATTGTTTTTTATGTCTGTTTCTGATTGATTTGTTTGTCTCTGTGATTTTTTTTCTGTTTGTTTGCTTTGTTTGACTTTGTCTGTCTGTTTTAATTGTTTTGTTTTGTTTTTTGTTTTTTTTCCTTTTGTTTTCACTTGTTTCTAAAATTTCCTATGGCTTATTTTTGTTTTATTTACATGTCTTTATTTCCTTTTTTCGTATCTATTTTCACGACTGTTTGTTATCAGCTTCAGACTCAATAAATTATCGATTTATATCATATGTTTTATTATTATGATCGTTGTTTATATCTAGAAAAAATAGAAATTCACTTGAAAATGCAAATAAAAAAGTGAGAACAGAAACTATAGATGAATAATTAGAAAGTCAGGCACTTCAGTAAAACTAGTTTGTATATTGTGGGTTTTTCTAACACACACACATACATGTATGTATATATGTATATATATATATTATATATATATTATATATATATATATATATATATATTATATATATATATATATGTGTGTGTGTGTGTGTGTGTGTGTGTGTGTTGTGTGTTGTGTGTGTGTGTGTGGTGTGTGTGTGTGTGTGTGTGTGTGTGTGTGTGTGTGTGTGTGTGTGTGTGTGTGTACGTGTGTGTGTACGTGTGTGTGGTACGTCTTTGTGTGTGTACGTCTTTGTGTGTGTACTTCTTTGTGTGCGTGTGTGTGCGTGTTTGTGTTGTGTGTGTGTGTTGTTTCGTGTCTGTGTGTGTGTGTGTTTGTGTCTGTGTGTGTGTGTGTGTGTGTGTGTGTGTAGTGTATGCATTTATGTATCATGTATCTCTCTCTCTCTCTCTCTCTCTCTATATTATATATATATATATATATATATATATATTATATATATATATATATATATATTATATATAATATATATATATAATATATATATATATATATATATATATATATATATATATATATATATATATATATATATATATATATATATTATATATATAAATGTAGGTAGGTATTATTTATGCATATAATTGTAATTGTTGGTACACTTGCATTCAATACATTCGCAGAACCGGATTTCAGAGCAGCGCATAAAAGGATGCCATAAATTGTTGGTTTCTGCAATGCCATAATACGGACCTGATTACATGCATATTCTATTTCATCTACGTGCTTGTTCCTTTATTTTGTTTTATTTTTTTATGGAGGGCGGAGCTGGGTCTTGTGTGTGTGTGTGTGTGTGTGTGTGCGTGGTGTGTGTGTGTGTGTGGGTTGTGTTTGTTGTGTGTGTGTGTGTGTGTGTGTGTGTGTGTGGTGTGCGTGGTGTGTTGTGGTGTGGTGGTTCGTGTTTGTGTGTGTGTGTGTGTGTGTGGTGTGTGTGTGTGTGTGTGTGTGCGTGTGTGTGTGGCGTGTGTGTGTGTTCGTGTTTGTGTGTGTGTGTGTTGTGTGTGTGTGTGTGTGCGTGTTTGTGTGTGTGTGCGTGTTTGTGTCTGTGTGAGTGTGTGTTCGTGTACGTGCGTGAGTGCATGTCTCTTCATATGCGCGAGCGCGCGCTTGCATGTGTGTATACGTGTGTGTGTGCTTGAATGTACGTCTTCATGTGTGTACGTGTGTGCGTGTATCTCCCAATCCTTCCTTCCAATCTCTCTATCTCATTACGATTTCATTTTGTAACAGACTCATGAATAATTTTTTTTTCACTTTTATTTTTTACTCTTCGAACTATTTTCAACCGAAATGTTTTTCTTGTATTATCCTGAGGTATTAGATCGCGATATCATATGCAAATGGGGTTTAGAATGAAAGTGGGGAGAGGGAAGAGAAGGAGAAGAAAGAGAGGAGAGAGAGAGAGCGAGGAGAACCGAGAGAGAGGGAGAGGAGGGGGAGAGAGAGAGAGAGAGCGAGAGAGAAAGAGAGAGCGAGAACGAGAAGAGAGAGCGAGAACGAGAAAGAGAGAGCGAGAAGAGAAAGAGAGGCGAGAACGAGAAGAAGAGAGAGAGAGAGAGAGAGAGAGAGAGAGAGAGAAGAAGCAAGAGAGCAAGAGAGCAAGAGAGCAAAGAGCAAGAGAGCAAGAGAGCAAGAGAGCAAAGAGAGAGCGAGAGAGCGAGAAGAGCGAGAGAGCGAGAGCGAGAGAGCGAGAGAGCGAGAGAGCGAGAGAGCGAGAGAGCGAGAGACCAGAGAAAGAGAGAGCGAGAGAGCGAAGAGCGAGAGAGACCAGAGAAAGAGAGAGCGAGAGAGAACCAGAGAAAGAGAGAGAACCAGAGAGAGAGCGAGAGAGCGAGAGAGAACCAGAGAAAGAGAGAGAACAGAGAAAGAGAGAGAACCAGAGAAAGAGAGAGGAGAGAGACAGAGAGAGAGAGAGGGAAACGAAAAGAAGGTTGGAAGAGAAAGAGAAGGAGAGAGAGGGAGGACAAACAAAATAAAATGAGACGAGAGAAAAGTTGAAAAGAGGGAAATTAGTGAATGGGAAAGAAAAGGGAAAAATATATATCAGAGAAAACATTACGATAACGGAAACGGAAAATAATAAGTAATATATATATAAACAGGATTAATTAAGATAATTATATATATAATCATTTTTTTTTCCGCGATAAGCATGCACTTTAGATTGTACATTAGCTGATAATGGCAAATAATATCGTTGTACATCAGGTCATTATCGTCACTAACCTGTCCTGTTATCAGTTACTAATTAGTATAATTAACATATTTAAATGAGAGACTATTATTTCGATTTGTATAAGACGAAAATACATTTTTTTCCATTAAAAATATATATAGAAAGAAGGAGAAGAATTATAATAACGATATAATTAATAATGATGATGATAATAGTATGAATGATGATGATAATAACAATAACAATAATGATCATAATGATAATAGTAATAGTAAAATTGATAGTAATGATAACAATAATAATAAAAATGTTGATAATGATGATTAATACGGACGATGAAGATAATGATAATATGATGATAATAAGTATAAAAGAAAAACATTTTAGGACCATGATACGAGGTCACCTAAATGAATCAGAGGTCACGGGTGTAGCTTTAATGCCTGTGACGTCAGAGCATAAGCGGTCTGTTTACAAAGAGCTCCATTTTTTTTTTTTTTTTTTTTTTTTTTTTTTTTTTTTTTTTTTTTTTTTTTTTTTTTTTTTTACCCATGTGTGATTACCTAAGGAGTGATTAGCGTGCCATTACTGGTGTTTGGTTGAAAAGTTTTTTGGATTCGTTTTTTTTTTTGGGGGGGGAGGGGGAGGGGGGTTGTGTTAATGTGGTTTATGTCTTTTGCTTTTGTGTCTGTCGTCTTTTTTCATTGGCAATATATAATGTGTGTATGTCTGGCTATCTACCTATTGTTTTATTTATCTATGTGTGTGTGTTGTGTGTTCTCACCCCCACCCCCTTTTCCTCACCCCTCAAACCACGTTCTCACCCCCACCCCCCTCTTCCTCCCCCACCCCACAACCACGTTCTCACCCCACCGCACTTCCCTCCCCACCCCACAACGCACGTTCTCACCCCACCCCCTCCCCCCCACAACCACGTCACCTCTTCTCCCCCCACCCCCTTCCCTCCCCCCACCGCCACAACCCGTTCTCACCCCCACCCCCTTCCCCTCCCTCCCCCCCACAACCACGTTCTCACCCACCCCCCTTCCCTCACCTCCCCCACAACCACGTTCTCACCCCACCCCCCCACAACCACGTTCTCCCCCACTCCCCTTCCCTCCTCCCCCCCCCACAACCACGTTCTCACCCCCCCCCACAACCACGTTCTCACCCCTACCTCCCTCTTCCTACCCCCACCCCTCTTCTACCCCACACCCCTTCCCTCCCCCCCCCCACAACCACGTCTCACCCCACCCCCTCTCCTCCCCACAACCACGTCTCACCCCCAACCCCCCCTCCCTACCCCACCCCCCTTCCTACCCCACCCCTTCCCTCCCCACCCCTTCCTCCCCCCCAACCACGTTCTACCCTCACCCCTTCCCTCACCCCCCCCACAACCACGTTTCTCCCCACCCTCACGTCTCACCCCCACTCCCCCTCCCCTCCCCCCACAACCACGTTCTCACCCCCACCCCCACAAACCACGTTTCTCACCCCTACCCCCCTCTTCCTACCCCCACCCCTCTTCCTACCCCCCACCCCCTCCCCTCCCCCCCACAACCACGTCCTCACCCCACCCCCGCTTCCTCCCCCCAAACCACGTCCTCACCCCACCCCCCCTTCCTACCCCACCCCCCCTTCCCTACCCCACCACCCTACCCCACTCCCTTCCCTCCCCCACAACACGTCTCACCCCCTCTCCACCAACCACGTTCTCCTCTCACCCCCACCCCCCTACACAACCACGTTCTCACCCACCCCCTCGCCTCCACGCCCCACCCACGTTCTCGACCCCTACCCCCCTCTTCCTGCCCCCCACCTCCTCTTCCTACCCCACACCCCCTTCCCCCCCACCCCCACAACCACGTTCTCACCCCCACCCCCTTCCTCCCCACCCACAACCACGTCCTCACCCCACCCCCTTCCCTCCCCCCCTTCCCCCTTCCCCCCTCCCCACAACCCCTTCCTCCCCCACCGCCCCTTCCCTCCCCCCATCCCCTTCCTCCCCCCCCGCAACCACGTTCTCACCCCCACCCCCTCTTCTCCCCCAGACTCTACCTTATGCCTGACGAGCGCCGATACCTGCAGACGAAGACGAGGAGGAAGACCTGCAACCCGAGATTCGACGAGACCTTCTGCTTCCAGGTGAGTCAGAATATAATATATATATATATATATATATATATATATATATATATATATATATATATATAATATATGTTTTTTTTTTTTTTTTTTTTTTGAGGGGGGAGGGGGGAGGGGGAGTTCTGTTTTTTTTTTTTTTTGGGGGGGAGGGGTGTATGGGATTTTTTTGGGGGAGGATTTTTTTTTTTGGGGGGGGGTCTGGGATTTTTTTTTGGGGGGGTCTAAGGGGGGGGTCTGGGATTTTTTTTTTGGGGGGGGAGGGGGGGGTTTTTTTGGGGGGCGCGTCTGGGATTTTTTTTTTATGGGGGGCGGCGTCTGCTCTAAGATTTTTTTTTTAGGGGGGCGTCTGGGATTTTTTTTTTTCTGGGATTTTTTTTGGGGGGGTCTAAGATTTTTTTTAGGGGGGCCTCCATTATTGGCTAATTAGGATTATTAGATGGCGTAGGTAGGGAGGGAGGAGTCGGGGGGGGGTTAAGGAGAGGCGAGATAGAGGAAGGGTGGAGGGATTGAGAAAGAGGAGGCGGGTTGAGATGGATGGTAAATGGTAAGTGGAGAGAGAAAGAAAGGATTTTTTTTATTATTTTGTTTTTTTTTTCTATTCTTTCTTTCGTTTTCTCTCTCTCGTCTCTCTCTCTCTCTCTCTCTCTCTCTCTCTCTCTCTCTCTCTCTCTCTCTCTCTTCTCTCTCATCTCCTCTCTCTCTTCTCTCTCTCTCTCTCTCTCCTCTCTCTCTCCTCTCTCTCTCTCTCTCTCCTCTCTCTCTTCTCTCTTCTCTCTCTCTCTCTCTCTCTCCCCTTCCCTCTCCCTCTCTCCCCCTCTTCTCCCCCCTCCCACCTTTCTCTCTCTCTCTCTCTCTCTCTTCTCTCTCTCTCTCTCCTCTCTCGGCTTATCTCGCCAAATGAGAGCGCAGGAAATCAATCACAGATCAATTAGCGATCATCGGTTAATGAAGATGCTCCGATATTCCTGTCTCTACTGCTGGAGGAGGAATTGCCGTATGTCGTCACCCGTGTCTGCGTGTCTGTCTGTCTGCTTGTGTCTGTCGGGTTTTTTTTTTTTTTCTCTTTGTCTTGGCTGCTTGTGTCTGTCGGGTTCTTGTATTTCTCTTTGTCTTAGTTTTTCATTTTCTATTTCTCTTTCTTTTTTTTTTTTTTTTTTTTTATTTCTCTCTCGCTTTCTCTCTCTCTCTTTTCTCTCTTTCTTTCTCTTTTCTCTCTTTCTCTCTTTCTCTCTTTCTCTCTTTTCTCTCTTTCTCTCTTTCTCTTTCTCTTTCTCTCTCTCTCTCTTCTCTCTCTCTCTCCTCTCTCTCTCTCTCTCTCTCTCTCTCTCTCTCTCTTCTCTCTCTCTCTCTCTCTCTCTCTCTTCTCTCTCTCTCTCTCTCTCTCTCTCTCTCTCTCTCTCTCTCTCTCTCTCTCTCTCTCTCTCTCTCTCTCTCTCTCTCTCTCTCTCTCTCTCTCTCTCTTTCTCTCTCTCTCTCTTCCTTCTTTCTCTTTCTCTCTTTTTCTTTCTTTTCTTTGGGTTTCTCTTGGTCTCTCTCTCTATTTTTTCTTCCCATCTCTCCCTCTCCCTGTTTCCTTCGTTTTACTAGCCTTCTCTCCTTCTTTCCTTCTTCCTCTCTTTTCCCCCTCCCCGTTTTCTCCCAGTCTCCTTTTCCCTCTTTTAGCTTCCCCTCTCTCCCTCTCCCTCTTCCTTTATCTTTTCTCCCCCTCCTCTCCTCTCCCAGTCTCCTATCCCCTCATTTTGGCTTCCCCCCCTCTCCTTCTCTCCCTCTTCTTCATATCTTCTCTCTCTTCCTGTTTCCCATTCCCTCTTTTTTACTTCCCCTCTCTCCTTCTCTCCGTCTTCCTTATCTTTTCTCCCCCTCACTCCCTCTCCCAGTCTCCTATTCCCTCTTATTGGCTTCCCTCCTCTCTCCCTCTCCCCTCTCCCCTTTCTCATATGTTCCCCTCTTTCTCCTCTCCCAGTCTTCTATACCCTCTTTTTGGCTTCCCTCCTTTCTCCCTCTCCCTCTTTCTCATCATTTCTCCCCCTCTCTCCCTCTCCCAGTCTCCTATTCCCTCTTTTTGGCTTCCACCTCTCTCCCTCTCCCTCTTTCTCATCTGTTCTCCCCCTCTCTCCCTCTCCCTCTCCCTCTTTTTTGGCTTCCCCCTCTCTCCCTCTCTCCCTCTCCCAGTCTCTCATACCCTCTTTTGGCTCCCCCCTCTCTCCCTCTCTCTCCCTCTCTCAGTCTTCTATTCCCTCTTTTTGGCTTCCCCCTCTCTCCCTCTCTCCCTCTCTGAATAACTGAATACCTCGGCTCCCCCCCCTCCCTTCCCCTCCCCATATTCCCCTCCCCTATTCCCTCTTCCTCCCTCGATTTGCCATTCCCTCTGACCTAATCACACGGTAGGCAAGGGAAGGTGTCATT